TTCATTCTTCTTTTCATTCTTCTCATTCTTCTTTTCATTCTTCTTTTCATTCTTCTTCTCATTCTTCTTTTCATTCTTCTTCTTTTCATTCTTCTTTTCATTCTTCTCATTCTTCTTTTCTTCTTCATGAAAAGAAGAATGAGAAGAAGAATGAAAAGAAGAATGAAAAGAAGAAGAAGAATGAAAAGAAGAATGAAAAGAAGAATGAGAAGAAGAATGAAAAGAAGAATGAAAAGAAGAATGAAAAGAAGAAGAAGAAGAATGAAAAGAAGAAGAAGAATGAAAAGAAGAATGAAAAGAAGAAGAAGAAGAATCTTTTCATTCTTCTCATTCTTCTTTTCATTCTTCTTCTTCTTCTTTTCATTCTTCTTCTTCTTTTCATTCTTCTTCTTCTTCTTTTCATTCTTCTCATTCTTCTTTTCATTCTTCTTCTTCTTCTTTTTCATTCTTCTTCTTCTTTCCATTCTTCTTTTCATTCTTCTTCTTCTTCTTCTTTTCATTCTTCTTCTTCTTCTTTTCATTCTTTCTTTTCATTCTTCTTCTTCTTTTCATTCTTCTTTTCATTCTTCTCATTCTTTTCTTTTCATTCTTCTTTTCATTCTTCTTCTTCTTCTTTTCATTCTTCTCCTTCTTTTCATTCTTCTCATTCTTCTTTTCATTCTTCTCATTCTTCTTTTCATTCTTCTTTTCATTCTTTCATTCTTCTTTTCATTCTTCTTTTCATTCTTCTTCTTCTTCTTTTCATTCTTCTTCTTCTTCTTTTCATTCTTCTTTTCATTCTTCTTCTTCTTCTTTTCATTCTCCTTCTTCTTCTTTTCATTCTTCTTTTCATTCTTCTTCTTCTTTTCATTCTTCTTCTCCCTTCTTCTTTTCATTCTTCTTCTTCTCTCTTTTCATTCTTCTTTCTTCTTCATGAAAAGAAGAATGAGAAGAAGAATGAAAAGAAGAATGAAAAGAAGAAGAATGAAAAGAAGAATGAGAAGAAGAATGAAAAGAAGAATGAAAAGAAGAAGAAGAATGAAAAGAAGAATGAGAAGAAGAATGAAAAGAAGAATGAGAAGAAGAATGAGAAGAAGAATGAAAAGAAGAATGAAAAGAAGAATGAAAAGAAGAAGAAGAATAATGAAAAGAAGAAGAAGAATGAAAAGAAGAATGAAAAGAAGAAGAATCTTTTCATTCTTCTCATTCTTCTTTTTTCTTCTTCTTCTTCTTTTCATTCTTCTTCTTCTTTTCATTCTTCTTCTTCTTTTCATTCTTCTTTTCATTCTTCTTCTTCTTCTTTTCATTCTTCTTCTTCTTCTGAGGATGAGGATGAGGATGAAGAAGAAGAAGAAGAAGAAGTAGGATGAAAATAAGAAGAATTCCAAGCCGGCAAAAAGTGTATCTGCATAGCTCCGCTAAGTGTATCTGCAGAGCTCCGCTAAGTGTATCTGCAGAGCTCAGCGGTTGAAACATTTGTATCTATTTGTTTCCATTTATGGAAACAAATAGATACAATGTTTCAACCGCTGTAAATGTGAATGTCAGAGAACTGTCAGAAATAGAGGAGCTCTGCAGATACACTTAGCGGAGCTCTGCAGATACACTTTTTGCCGGTTTGGAATTCTTCTTATTTTCATCCTACTTCTTCTTCTTCTTCACCCTCATCCTCAGAAGAAGAAGAAGAGGATGAGGATGAAGAAGAAGAAGAAGAAGTAGGATGAAAATAAGAAGAATTCCAAGCCGGCAAAAAGTGTATCTGCAGAGCTCCACTAAGTGTATCTGCAGAGCTCCGCTAAGAAAATAGCGGAGCTCTGCAGATACACTTTTTGCCGGCTTGGAATTCTCCTTCTTCTCATCCTTCTTCTTCTTCTCATCCTTCTTCTTCTTCTCATCCTTCTCCTTCTTCTCATCCTTCTTCTTCTTCTCATCCTTCTTCTTCTTCTCATCCTTCTCCTTCTTCTCATCCTTCTTCTTTTTCTCATCCTTCTTCTTCTTCTTCTCATCCTCTTCTTCTTCTTCTCATCCTTCTCCTTCTTCTCATCCTTCTTCTTCTTCTCATCCTTCTTCTTCTTCTCATCCTTCTTCTTCTCATCCTTCTCCTTCTTCTCATCCTTCTTCTGAAAAAAGAAGAACATCCTACATTCTCCTTCTCTTCTCATCCTTCTCCTTCTTCTCATCCTTCTCCTTCTCTCATCCTTCTCCTTCTTCTCATCCTTCTCCTTCTCCTTTTTCTCATCCCTTCTCCTTCTCCTTCTTCTCAACCTTCTCCTTCTTTTCTCATCCTTCTTCCTTCTTCTCATCCTTCTCCTTCTCCTTCTTCTCATCCTTCTCCTTCTCCTTCTTCTCATCCTTCTCCTTCTCCTTCCTCATCTCCAAGGGCATTTAAATTAAAGGTACAGTGTTCTACACTAATTTAAAGGCTCTCTGAAGCCTAGAAAGCCTTTTTATAAGTTGAATTCGTAGCGAATAAATTCGCATCGAATCGAATTTTCTTCCTCAAATTCGGCGAATCAGCCGAATCGAATTTTTGAATAATTCGCTCATCTCTAGTTAGTACCTATGCTTAGATTACAGGCAAAGCACAATTACACTCAAGAATATGTTTACTGTATATATTTACTCTACAGAAGCCGAGCTGTCCTGTGACAATTCTTTCCTTTCACACACAATAGGAAGCAGGTTGCAGATGTTTCTGCATATTGTGAATGATGGCCCACTGTCCACTGGGAATGGCGCTCTCCATCATATTTCACAGTCCAGCAGACAGCTGTGACATCATTTGGATAAATGGGTGAAGATACTGTTTCCTCAGCTGGTAGCATTTTCTACGTATCCATCTGTCAGATTGTTGTGGGATCTTTCCTTGCCACATCATTAGCATTACAAATTGATCCATTCACTGGATGCAGTGCAGTCAATCAGTCAGTACCCAAGCAGGAATAATATCAGAGCACAAGCAGTCACTAGCCACCTGCTCTGAATGCCACCAAGGAAAAAAACCAGGATATGGATGTATGCTAATGTTGTTGATCAGCGTGACAGGCAGCAGCTTCCAGTTTGGTCATGAAAGGCATGCATAGGAAATAGCTTCAAAATTGCTTTATTGTATAAAATAACTATAATAAGCCTACAGTGTAATTATATATTAAATTAACAAGAAGAGAAAGAGCACCTTTCATGCCTCATGCTTGAGTGCCCATTTACACTATTGGGCCATACATACAGTTGCAAGAAAAAGTATGTGAACCCCTTGGGATTACGTGGAGTTGTGCATGAATTGGGCATAAAATGTGCTCTGAACGTCATCTAAGTCACAACAATAGAAGAACACAGTCTGCTGAACATAATACTACACAAACATAAGATGTTGCCATGGTTTAATTGCACATAACATGTAAACATTCACAGTGCAGGGAGGAAAAAGTATGTGAAGCCCTAGCTTAATGACTTCTCCCAGAGCTAATTGGAGCCAGGAGTGAGCCAACCTTGACTCCAATCAGTGTGATGATATTGGATGTGTTGCTGACAGCTGTCCTGCCCTTAAAAAACACACACCTGTTTTGGGTTTATTGGTTTCAAGAAGCACTGTCTGATGTGAACCATGCCTCGCAGAAAAGAGCTCTCAGAAGACCTACGATCAAGAATAGTTGACTTGCATGAAGCTGGAAAGGGTTACAAAAGTATCTCCAAAAGCCTTGATGTTCATGTGTCCACGGTAAGACAGACTGTCTACAAATGGAGAAAGTTTAGCACTGTTGCTGCTCTCCCTAGGCGTGGTCGTCCTGTAAAAATGACTGCAAGAGCACAGCGCAGAATGCTGCATGAGGTAAAGAAGAATCCCAGAGTGTCAGCTAAAGACCTACAGAAATCTCTGGCACATGCTAACATTTTTGTTGACACATCTACAATAAGGAAAACATTAAACAAGAATAGAGTACATGAGAGGACACCATGGAGGAAGCCATTGCTGTCCAAAAAGAAGATTGCAGCATGTTTGAAGTTTGCAAAAGAGCACCTGGATGTTCCACAGCACTACTGGCAAAATATACTGTGGACAGATGAAACGAAGATTGAGTTGTTTGAGAAGAAGAACACACAACACTATGTGTGGAGAAAAAAAGGCACAGCACACCAACATCAAAACCTCATCCCCACTGTAAAACATGGCAGAGGGAGCATCATGGTTTGGGGCTGCTTTGCTGCCTCAGGGCCTGGACGGATTGTTGTCATTGAGGGAAAATGAATTCCAGAGTTTATCAAGACATTCTGCAGGAAAACGTACGACCATCTGTCCGCCAACTGAAGCTCCGCAGAGGATGGGTGATGCAACAGGACAATGACCCAAAGCATACAAGTAATTCAACAAAACAATGGCTGCAACAGCACAGAATACGCCTTCTGGAGTGGCCCAGTCAGAGTCCTGACCTCAACCCGATTGAAATGCTGTGGCATGACCTTAAGAGAGCGATTCACACCAGACATCCCAAGAATATTGCTACACTGAAACAGTTTTGTGAAAAAGAGTGGTCCAAAATTACTCCAGATCGTTGTGCAGGTCTGATCTGCAACTACAGGAAACGTTTGGTTGAGGTTATTGCTGCCAAAGGAGGGTCAACCAGTTATTAAGTCCAAAGGTTCACATACTTTTTCCTCCCTGCACTGTGAATGTTTACATGTTATGTGCAGTTAAACCATGGCAACATCTAATGTTTGTGTAGTATTATGTTCAGCAGACTGTGTTCTTCTATTGTTGTGACTTAGATGACGTTCAGAGCACATTTTATGCCCAATTCATGCAAAACTCCACGTAATCCCAAGGGGTTCACATACTTTTTCTTGCAACTGTATGTTTCAAATGAAAATGCACCCAGATGTGAATACCTATACTATACTGCCAAAAGTATTGGGAGACCCCTCCAAATCATTGGATTCAGGTGTTCCAATCACCTCCATGGCCACAGCTGTATAAAATCAACCACCTAGGCATGCTGACTGTTTCTATAAACATTTGTGAAAGAATGGGTCGCTCTCAGGAGCTCAGTGAATTCAAGCATGGTACCTTGATAGGTTGCAACCTGTGCAATAAGTCCTTCTGTGAAATTTCCTTGCTACTAAATATTCCACGGTCAACTGTTAGTGGTATTATAACAAAGTGGAAGAAACTGAGAACAACAGCAACTCAGCCACGAAGGGGTAGGCCACGTAAAATGACAGAGTGGGGTCAGCACATACTGAAGTGCACAGTGCTCAGAAATTGCCAATTGTCTATAGAATCAATAGCTAATGACCTCCATACTTCGTGTGGCCTTCAGATTAGCACATCATCAGTGCGTAGGAAGCTTCATGGAATGGTTTTCCATGGCCAAACAGCTGCATCCAAGCCTTACATCGCCAAATGCAATGCAAAGCGTTGGATGCAGTGGTGTAAAGCACACCGCCACTGGTCTCTAGAGCAGTGGAGACGTGTTCTCTGGAGTGACGAATCACACTTCTCTGGCAATCTGATGGACATGTCTGGGTTTGGCAGTTGCCAGGAGAACGGTACTTGCCTGACTGCATTGTGCCAAGTGTAAAGTTTGGTGGAGGGGGATTATGGCGTGGGGTTGTTTTTTAGGGGTTGGGCTTGGCCCCTTAGTTCCAGTGAAGGGAACTCTTAAGGTGTCCACATACCAAGACATTTTAGACAATTTCATGCTCCCAACTTTGTGGGAACAGTGTGGGGATTGCCCCTTCCTGTTCCAGCATGACTACGCACCAGTGCACAAAGCAAGGTCCATAAAGACATGGATGAGTTTGGGGTGGAGGAACTTGACTGGGCTGCACAGAGTCCTGACCTCAGCCTGATAGAACACCTTTGGGATGAATTAGAGCAGAAACTGCGAGCCGGGCCTTCTCACCCGACATCTGTGCCTGACCTTGCAAATGCAAGGTCTGGAAGAATGGTCAAACATTTCCATAGACACACTCCTAAACCTTGTGGACAGCCTTCCCAGAAGAGTTGAAGCTGTTATAGCTGCAAAGGGTGTGCCAACTCAATATTTAACCCTACGGACCAAGACTGGGATGTCATTAAAGTTCATGTGCGTGTAAAGGCAAGCATACCAATACTTTTGGCAATATAGTGTACACTGTGAGGTGCTGTGTTCTCAAAAATAGTACAAGAACATTTTTTTTTTGGTTCAACATTTTTTTTTATGCTTTGACAGCCCAGTGATAATGAATGCACTGCTTTATTGCAGTGTACATCAACATAAATTATGAGTCTGCATTACAGCACCCAGATGCTGGAAAAATAATAAATAATACAAAAATAATAAATATATCATAAAAAAATACAAATAATACTAAACTACCCAATTTATGTCCTCCAAAAACCAACTACATAAACAAGTAATAAATAAAAAGTAGATTTTTTTTTAAAATTAATTTTTAGCAGCTCATAGAATGTGTCGGTAGAAATCACTCCTCTCATCCCTATTTGCCACAGGTGTAATAGGCCATTTTTTCTCTAGGCCACTTAATATTTAAAACCTAGTGCTATGCCTTTTCCTACTCCTTCATCCATGTCAATGTGCCAGGAACTGACAGTTCTGCTTTATGTCCTCCTCTATCTTCCTGGAATAGCCTGAAGTTTCAGAGACCCCATATATGATTGTCAACAAATGTTGCAAACAGTCATACAACTCAAGAAATATTGAATAGGCAAACATTAGATCTTTTTTCAAACAGTGGTTACAAATAAAGGGCATATACTTAAAATGAACACAAAAAAAATTGCATTTTCAATTATTTATTCAACAAAAATATCAGTAGATTTACTGTAGAAAAATTAGTTATACCCTTGGAATTAATAGCTGCCATTGCACTGTAGAAGAAATGACTTACTGGAGCCATTTTGTATACGGTGCTATGAGAAAGTATTTGCCCCCTTTTTGTCACACTTAAAACTGTCCAGACCTGCCTTACACTATGTGAAAAAGTAATTGCACCCACCCGCATTGCTAAATCATGAATGAATTCTGATTAACCACATTTTTTGGAAGGCTGAGTTAAATTTCACTTGCCACACTCAGGCCTGATTACTGCCAGACCTATTGAATCACTTAAATAGAAGCTGTCTGACAAAGTGATGCATGCTAGGAAATCTCAAAAAGCAACATACCATATACCGTGATCTAAAGAAATCTAAGAACGGATGAGCTGCTTGATGACCTGAATCATTTAAGTGTGACAAATATGCAAAATAATAAAAAATCAGGAAGGGGCAAATACTTTTTCACTTCTTTGTAACTACTCACAAGTTTTTTACCACTTCTTAATGCAAAATTCCTTCAGTTGCAAGATGTCAGAGCAATGACCAAGGCAGTCCATAATCCTCCATTTCCTCTTTTTTAGCCATTCTTTGGTAAATTTTCTGGTGTGTTTCAGGTCATTATGGCACTGAAAGACCCATTTCAGGTTTGGCTTTAACTTTTGGACATATAGAGGTTAATTTACTAAAGCTGGTTCACTCAGAATCTTGTGCACTTCTGCATGGAAACCAATCAGCTTCCAGGTTTTATTGCTAAATCTTAATTGAACAAACTGCAGTTAGAAGCTGATTGGCTACCATGCACAGGTGCATGAGGTTCTGAGTGAACCAGCTTTAGTGAACCCCTCCAAAGTCTCATATAGTACATTTTTGTATCATGTAGAACCTTTTGTTGCCTTAATGCCAGTGAGCTGCCTAGGCCCTGACGCTGCAGTGCAACCTCAAGTCATTATTATTATTATACAGGATTTATATAACAACAGTTTGCTCAGCGCTTTACAATATAACGGGAGACAATACAATAACAATACAGTTCAATACAAGAGGGATTTGAGGGCCCTGCTCCTTGGAGCTTATAATCTAGGAGGGAGGTGCTAGTGGTAGTAAATGTGGGGGATGGACTAGTTGGAAGAGTAGAAGATTCCAGTATTTACTGAGGGCAGGATAGGCTTCCCTGTTATAACATTTTCACCACCATGCTTCACAGTTTTTATGAAATTATTCTTCAGAAATATTGTCTTCCACTTGTGTTAAACATGTCTACTGTTACTGTGAAAAAACAACTCTGTCTTCAGCACAGTGTTCCAGAAAACCTGGTTTTTGCCTATATTTTCAAATATATATGGTAATTTGTAATCTTAAACTGGACAAAGATGGTTAGTTTTTGGCTAAATTAAAAAAAGCGAGTTGAATAGAGAAATACCTCCAGCTAGGACATTCTACTGCTGCCATCTACAAAGTTTTACAGTGTGTCCATTCGACAGAAGTCGATCCAACGATCAACTTCTGTAGAACAGAACCACTCGAATTTCAATCCATCTATGCCCAGCATAACTCTTATGTTCTTTTTGGACAGCAAATACTTTTTCTTAACACAACTCTCATGTTTAAATAAGACAGGTTCCACCTGCATACTGGTGAGGGGACGTACTGGATACCTTTGCTGCTCTGTGCTATTGCTGGGTGTCCAGTGTGTCCTTATACCTTTAAGGGGGAGTGGCTTATCTCCAGGAATACCTGCCCCTAATCTATCAATTCGTATTATATACATACTCCAACTTTGGAGACTCTCAAAATTTATAGAGTTAGGACTGCAGCACACAAGGGTGCCGTAAAAGTGGCCTTGCAGCTTTGCGAATGGGTGCAAACTAAACCCCTGGTTTTAGCATGAACTGTTAGACAGGACAATGCAGTTTGTTGCAGGCTGGCTGATAAGTGAGCTGGGAATTTTTACTTGTTTTCTGACATGCGTCGCCCTTCCATGTGCTCCTTGCTGTAAATGCCACTTATAGGTTGGGGTGGTTGCCATTTGTTTGTCCACCTGCATACTCTCTAAGGAGGTTCTATAATTGGCACCTAATCTGGAAAACCCAATTTCAATTTCATGTATTTGAAGTGGAGGTAAATGTAGGGGTACGCTTACTTTTTCCATATGACAAATCTGATTTTTTGTTAGACCATGAAAATTATTACTCAATGTAAATTTTATTTGCCATTAGTTCAAGTATACTTTACCTCAATACGCATAAAGCTGAATATGCTCATTTTTTAAAATTCTGCACTTTACAATACCCAGATAGTACTACAACCCAAGTATATTGTGGTGTGCTGCTTAGGTGCACTGGGATGTCATTCAATATTCGTTTAACTGCAATGCATTGAACTGTCTTATGTACTGTACATTGATGTTTGTTGTGGTAAGGTCCAGCGCAATGCACATGTTTGCCATTTTACTAGAATACAGTGGTGTGAACAGGCCCCAGCTTAACACCAGGCATATTGATTACACAATCACTATCCAATAATATGTATTTATGGGTTATAGCCAACCTTGGGAAATACCCTCAGTGCCCCAGCATATGAAAAGCCCAATTACTGGGATGACAATTTTCATTAAATCATCCACTGGTTTTCTTAAAAAAAAAAAAAAACATTCCTCCTTGTTCCCTTTATTTTATAACAGTAGATACCTTTTTTCTTTGTACCTCAGGCAAAACAGATTGTCGCATCGGAGGCAGACGTTACTTCGGGAAAAAGGCAGGAGGCAAACTAACAGAGGGCCAGCGTATATGTTCAGTGACCGTTCCACCAGCCTATCAGCAGAAGAGGAGCGGTTTTTGGATGCTGCTGAGTATGGGAACATTCCTGTGGTTCGGAAGATGATGGAAGAATGTCACTCTTTAAATGTCAACTGTGTGGATTACATGGGCCAGAATGCTCTACAGTTAGCAGTTGCCAATGAGCACTTGGAAATTACAGAACTTTTACTGAAGAAGGAAAACTTGGCACGGGTGGGAGATGCTTTGCTTTTAGCTATCAGTAAAGGATATGTAAGGATAGTAGAGGCCATTCTTGGCCATCCGTCGTTTGCTGAAGGCAAGCGGCTTACAACAAGTCCTAGCCAGTCGGAATTCCAACACGATGACTTCTATGCCTATGATGAAGATGGAACTAGATTTTCTCAAGATATTACGCCTATTATTTTGGCTGCTCACTGTCAGGAATATGAAATAGTTCACACCCTTCTGAGAAAGGGAGCCCGAATTGAGAGGCCTCACGATTATTTTTGTAAATGCAGTGAATGTAGTGAAAAACAAAAACATGACGCCTTTAGCCACTCAAGGTCCAGGATCAATGCATATAAGGGACTTGCAAGTCCTGCCTATCTATCGTTGTCCAGCGAAGACCCAGTTATGACAGCTTTGGAGCTCAGTAATGAGTTGGCTGTGTTAGCTAATATTGAGAAGGAATTCAAGGTGGGTGCAGTATTACGAGGGGTGCTCCTTTCAAGGTGTTAGATGAGCATCTCATATCTGGTGACAGCTTCCAGGGTGTGGTAGAGAACAAATCCCATTAATGCTTTTTGTTCACTGTTCTCTGGATAAGATAATGAGCAGTGACATACAGTGATCATATTTCCATGTACCACCTCTTTCCATCTGTGTATGCTGAGTGCATTGGATAATATCCCATGTGCTCTCACCTTGGAACAGAGAATCCTTTACTTTGATATTATTGCAAGAACATCTCAACACCTACTGATTCTCACCTTGGCTGCACTTCCCGGCTGCTGAGGTGAAGCCCTCTGTAAATACCCTGTGCTTCTGCGTGTGGTGGAGAATGCGACCTCCTTTGGCATGAGCAACCAGGCTCCAACACTATCATGTGAGGAAGAGGAAGAAGTTAACCCTGTCTAAGCTCCAACACCAACTGGTTAGAAGCTTACACAGAGTTAAGATTTCAAGTTCTAATGAAGGAACAAAGCTGTGGGAAAGCATAGAAAGAGTGAGTATCAGTGGGTAGGGGCAGTTCTTACAAGAGAACCTGTCACTTTGTCCAGAGTTAGTGGTGTAAAGAACAATAATTTGATATCTCTGCATCAGTACGTAGACTAGAGGGTGGTTAATCAAGTACGCAAGCCACACACCACCCTGCAAAATGAAATATCAGTTATAGTATTTTATATTCCTGTATTTATCCTTAGTCTGGATATTGCCAGGTTGAATCATTGACTGGCTTCTTTAATCTCATATCATTTGGAGACTCCAGCAGCAGCATCTCTGCTCTGAATTCTCAAATCCAAACAGCTATTTCATCCAATAAAAACAAGTCACACACTCACTGGTGGAATCTCTCTTATAAATAATTTGGAAAAATGCAACAGGATTGTGACTTCCTTGCTTGGCTTTGCAATATCTGTCTATGGGGTTGTGCTGAACTTCAACCAAGAGATCTCACTAATAAGGTATTGGTTATAAATTATTCAACCCACCTGTCTGCCCATGAATAAAATAGTTCTTGTGAACAGCCTTTGAAATGCATCTGGCCTTAACTAAAACCCTAAAGCAGATCTGAGCAGGCAGCAAGGGTGCTCAGACAGATTTTATTAAACATGTGCCCTGGTAGCTCCTGCTTTAGGAGTGAGCATTTTGCCGATGGCAACTTCCAGCTGTTGAAGCTCTGCTGAATTCCCTTTATGAGCCAGTGCAACAGTCTGAGCCTCTCTAACTGTTGAGGGTCCCATACTATAGGAAGGAGGGTGAGGGGGTGATGTTGAGCTTTGACTTCAAAAACTACATTTGCGGATTTCCAGATTGGTGAGATCCCAGAACTCTCTAGGAAAATAAGTAATGATGAAAGATAAGCATCACTCTGCGCCTATTTTTAATTGCTTACCCGAGTTTTGTAAGTTTTAGCTAAGCACATGTCTTCTTTAGCACAGTGTGATCCACAAAATGTTCACCTGTTTTTATATTATAAACAATCATAATGCACAAACTCTCTATGGCGTAATAAAACAGATGGGGGATACTTGATAAGGCGGTTTATAAATTAAACAAACCTCCAGGCAGCTGGAGATAAGTGAGGATTTTCTGTAGTACCATTTATGAATATGCAAGCAGCCTAATGTCTGAATTTGCATTCTGCAATGCAAGACTTATCATGGAAGATACTGTACACAATTATGTCTTCATCAACATTAAATAGCCACTGGGGCTGTTAGGGTAATAATATTTTAAATCCTGGTTAATCAACAGTTTGATAACTACTGGAAGATGCATCATCAAATATTTATAACCTGTAATGAGCATTGAAATTTGACTTGCTCACAATACTGGCTAGCTAGAGGTAAAATCAGTGTTTTATTATGCGAGCAAATACACCTGGCTATGAACATGCAATGATTGCCATCTGACCCACTGTTTCTGAGCTACTGTAAATGTCAGCCAAAAATAATTTGTCTAAATACAAGAGGCATGGGTGTTGTTACTTGAATCTTGGAGTGCTTTCTGTATTTCTTTGTTATTTTGCAGTCTGATGCTACAGACGTTTAACCACTTGACCTCCAGAGGATTTACCCCCCTTAATGACCAGGCCTCTTTTTGCTACTCGGCGCTGCACTAATTCAACTGATAATTGCGCGGTCATGCAATGCTGCACCGAAACGAAATTTACATCCTTTTTTTCACACAAATATAGCTTTCTTTCGGTGGTATTTGATCACCTGTGCGCTTTTTATTTTTCACGCTATAAACAAAAAAATGCCAAACATTTGAAGAAAAACAATATTTTTTACTTTCAGCTATAAAAAATATATAGTAAACTCAAAGTTGGATATAAATTTAGGCCAAAATGTATTCTGCTACATTTTTTTGGTAAAAAAAATCCCAATAAGTGTATATTGATTGCTTTGTGTGAAAGTTATAGCGTCTACAAACTATGGTATAGATACTGCAATTTACGCCATTTTTTTGCTATACAGCGCTGCGCTAGTTTAATGGACAATTGCGCGGTCATGCAATAAGGTACATAAATGAAACTTATATCCTTTTTTTTCCCCATAAATTGAGCTTTCTTTTGGTGGTATTTGATCGCCTGTGCGGTTTTTATTTTTTGCGCTATAAAAAAAAAGGCTGACAATTTTGAGGAAAAAAAAAAACAATATTTTGGACTTTTTGCTATAAAACATGTCCAGTAAAAAAAAATTTAAAATCAAACTTAGTCATAAATTTCTGCCAAAATGCATTCTGCGACATGTCTTTGCTAAAAAAAAAACCCCAATACGTGTAAATGAATTGGTTTATGTGAAAGTTATAGCGTTTACAAATGGCGGGAAAGATACTGGGATTTTTAGTTTTTTTTATACTAATAATGGCGGCGATCAGCGACTTATGGCGGCGATCAGTGACTTATGGTGGCGATCAGCGACTTATGGCGGGACTGCGGCGGACATTCTGACATTGGGGGATACTGACTTGGGGTCACTGACATCCCCAGTGACACCAATACAGTGATCAGTGCAAAAAAAAAAAACCACTGACACTGTACTAATGGCACTGGGGAGGAAGGGTTTAAGTTTATTTTTCAGGGAAAGGGTTAACTGTGTGAGGGGAGTGTTTTACTAGGGGGCGGGGGTGTGTACTGCAGGGAACACCGCTGATTGGGAGAGAGAAACTCTTCTGTCCCGATCAGCTTGTCCTGGAGCTGTCAGGGAACTGACAGAAAGCAGAGCTACTGCAGCTGTGCTCTCTGTCAGCGATTGCTGCCGATCGCTGGGACATAGCCGGTAACGACCAGCTGTGACCCGGCGACTGATATCCGTGGCTGTGATCGGCGGGACAGGTAGGGCGGCGGCACGCCTCACACGCGCCCCCTACCTGTTTACAAAACAAACGTTTTAAAACGTGGTTTTGCCCAGCCGTGCCGCCCTGCCGCCGTATTTATACAGTGCCTGGGCGGCATGTGGTTAAATTGCTCAATGTGGCCAGACGACCAGCTCTTGGAAGAGTCCTGGTTGTGCTAAACTTCTTCCATTTGAGAATTATGGAGGCCACTGTGCTCTTTGGAACCTTCAGTGCAGCATAATTTTTTTAGTAGCCTTCTCCAGATCTGTGTCTTGCAATAATCCTGTTTCTGAGCTCTGCTGGCAGTTCCTTTGAGCTCATGGCTTTTACTCTGACACAGTATGCATTGTCAGCTGTGAGGCCTTTTCTAGAGAGGTGTGTGCCTTTCCAAAGCATGTCCAATCAACTTAATTTGCAACAGGTGGATACCAATCAAGGTGTAGAAACATCTTAGCAACAAGCAAAGAGAAATGGGAGGCACCTGAGCTAAATTTCAAGTGTTGTTGCAAAGGGTCTGAATAATTATGCCAATGTGATATTTCGTTTTTTTCTTTTTCAAAAAATCACAGACATTTCTAAAATTCTGTTTTTACTTTGCCATTGTGGGGTACTGAGGGCAGATTAATTAGGAAAAAAATAATTTACACAACTGTAGTATCAGGCTGCAACATAACAAAATTGTAGGGGGTCCGAATACTTTATGAATGCACTGTATTCTGGTGCAAGCTGAGTTTAGGACCATGTGAATATATATACCTCTTGTGGTTCCTGTGGAAGAACTCGGATGCATTTCCAATATACTTATGATGTGGACACTTTGTGATGGGCTTTGTGGATAATCAATTTGAATACAAATTACTGATGAATCAAATAACACCTGCTACAGTAGACAGTGATGTAGCCCTAGGAAGCATTGCCAAACCCCCATGCCTTAAAATGACATTGCTAAAGGTTGAAATAGGCACAGAGAAGCCTCCACTGTCCATACTGGCGTGGCCTCACCTGACACCAACTGCTTACAAGTGCCTCCTTCCTTGATACAGACATGTGTACAGCTTTTATCAGTAGTATTAACCCCCTGGTTTACTACAGAAGCAGTAGCAAGAAGGTATTCTTATGCATCTTGTATGTTTCATATGTGGCTAGTATAACTAAACATTGCCTGCATAGTTAAGGCCAGTGATGTTACATGATCTATTTTCAGTTACATTGCATAATAAGCCTATGGATATGACACCCCCTGTAGATACCATCAGACTAAGCTTTGTAGAAGGAATTGTAATTGAAAGGTTTAAAGACCTTGTCTAGGCTCTCTTGTTTTCTCATTGATAAACTCACCCTGGAAATCTATTTAGCATGTCTTTCACCTTTCATCTCCTTTCTACATAGACTAATCATGACTGGTCCCCGCTTGGTAAGACCAACTGCCCTCCAGTGTCTATGGAAACTCTTACCATTGTATGGATTATTTTTGCTTTATATCATTTAATATAACGATAATTTATGAATTAGGAGATAGTGATATCATCTCCCAGGAAATGATTTACTAATTTCTGACACCTTAGAGGGCTAAACCACACAAAACACCAAAACCTTATATGGATGCCAACAAACAAAATATTTAGCTGATT